CCGGTGGGGATTTTGAGGAAGAAGAAGAGATAGAGGTTGATCAGCCCATAATGGAGGAAAATAACGGACGTAGGCGGACTGTGCTCCAAGCCATGAGCCCCGCCTATGTTGAAGAAGACCCCATCGGACTCCCGAACACTGACGCCCACACATTCGAGATCAAACCTGCCATGATCCAAATGGTCTCGAATAATCAGTTCGGGGGTATGAAGGGAGAAGATCCAAGGGCCCACATGCTATGGTTCTCCCGAACCTGTCAGACGCTGAAGATGAACGGAGTGACCTCCGATCGTATCAAACTATCGCTCTTTCCTTTCTCACTTCGAGATAGGGCGGCCCGATGGTTGAATACGTTCTCAAAGGGTCATTTCAAAAACTGGGAGGCACTACACCAAGCTTTCATGCACGAATACTTCCCACCATCCGCCATCGCCAAAATCAAACGATCGATCCAGAATTTCTCTCAAGATTCGATCGAATCCCTAAGCGAGGCATGGGAAAGATTCAAGGATCTGAAGATCAAATGCCCACCTGCCCTAATTGATGATGATAGCCTGATGTTCCATTTTTATCAAGGACTTCTGGTGCCGTCAAAGAAAGAACTCGACCACTCTTTTAAGGTCGGCTCTTTCTTAGATATGACACCGGAAGAAAATGAGGATCTGGTGGAGAGACTAACTTCAAATGCCAAATACTGGTACGAAGACCGAGCACCACAACAGAAGGCTGGCATGTACGAAGTGGATTCCTTGACGGCACTTAAAGCAAGCATGGAAAGTTTGATCAAACTAACTATTCAAGATCAGTTCAGTGCAAGCTCCCGATCCAACAAACCATACGAGTCAGTTGCTCAGGCTGATAACTACTGTCAAGGCAGTTCAAGTTCGCACTCAAACGAACTTGTTCTATCTTGTGAATCATGTACAGGTACACACTTGACAGCCCAGTGCCCTTACTATGAAAGCCCGATCAAGGAAAAGCCTAGAGAAGCAAATTTGGCCCAGTATGCAAACAAGGGGGGAGGACCATGGGCCACGAACCAGTACCAACCAGCCCACTGGCGCGATGATCTTTCAAGAGAGCGCAACAACAATTTCCAAAGAAACAATCGTCCGAGGGACGATTTCAGACAAGGAGGCTGGAACAACAACTTGAATCAGAGAGGGCCTAACTTCAACCAAGGGGGAATACTCAAGCATATGTCCCTCCACACCAGAGACAAGCTGAGGATCCCACGACCGAGATGAAGAAAATGCTAGAAGAAAAAGACAAGAAAAATGAAGAAAGAATCCAGAGATTGGAGGAGTCGATGCGACAACTTATGGAACAAATGACGATCCGACCTCCAGGAACTCTGCCAGCCAAAACTGAAAACAACCCACGAGAACACCTCAAGGCTGTTACCTTGCGAAGTGGGAAAGAAACGAAGGGCATTGGCCAGAGTTCTGAACCAACTCTGAAAGATTATGTGGCTGAACTAGTCAATGAGCCAACTGAGAAGAAGAAAGAAGAAGAAAAGAAGGACGAAGAACCTTTACAGTCCCAATATCCAAACAGCGATCTCCCGCTAAAGAAGGTGACCATACCCTATCCTTCAAGGGTAAAGAAGAGCAAGGATGAAAAAGCCTTCAAGAAGTTCTTAGACATCATGGGCCAAGTTGAAGTCAAACTGCCCTTAGTCGATGTCTTGACGGAAATGCCAAAGTACGCCAAGTTCTTGAAAGACTTGGTCACACATAAAAGGGACTGGGAGGAACTTCCAATGATCAATCTCAACGCAAGCTATTCCGCGTTGTTACTCCAGCACATGCCTGAAAAATGCAAGGATCCAGGTAGGTTCTCTATCCCTTGTTCTATCAAAGACATGCATTTTAAACATGCCCTAGCAGAATTAGGTGCAAGCATTAATCTGATGCCCACATCGATTATGGAACAGTTAGGAATTTCTGAACTAAAACCATCTCGAACATGTGTTCAACTAGCGGATAGTTCTGTCCGTTACCCTCGGGGAATAGTTGAGGATGTGTACGTAAAGGTTGATAAATTCACATTCCCAGCTGATTTCGTAATCCTTGACATGGAAGAGGATTCTGAAATGCCTCTGATCTTAGGCCGGCCATTTTTAGCAACTGCTAAGGCCTTGATTAATGTTCATGAAGGGAAAATGACCTTGAAATTTGGAGAAGATGAGTGTACCTTCAAATTGACAGACTTGATGAACCAATCTCCAAACCCTACTGAATTTTGTCACTCTGTGAAAATTTTAAAAGACAAAGGGTCTTTTGAGACACTTCTCGGCCTGGAGGAGATTTTGAAGGTTGAGGGGATTGAACCAAGTAAGTGTGAGGATGTTCAGGAAGTAGAGGCTAAGGGACTTGATTCCCTAGAATTGAAGCCACTTCCCAAACATCTTGAGTATGCATTTCTGGATGACGAGGGAAAATGCCCAGTCGTCATCGCATCTGATCTGAGTGTGGGACAAAAGGCCGATCTAATGACTGTCCTCCGACAACACAAGCAAACTTTTTCTTGGAAGTTGGAGGATATTCGAGGAATCAGCCCGGCCTTTTGCACCCACAAAATTGCACTTGAAGAAGGGTGTAAGCCCGTTGTTCAAGCACAACGGAGGCTTAACCCGAAGTTAATGGAGGTTTTCCAGAAAGAGGTCATCCGATTGTTAGACGCGGGTATCATCTACCCTATTTCTGACAGTCGGTGGGTTAGTCCCATTCATGTTGTCCCAAAGAAGGGAGGAATGATAGTTGTTCAAAATAAGAAGGGTGAACTTGTGCCCAGTCGCACAGTCACCGGGTGGAGAATGGTAATTGACTATCGCAAACTGAATGATGCCACCCGGAAAGACCATTTTCCCCTTCCATTTATTGACCAGTTAATTGAGAGACTGGCGGGGCATGCTTATTACTGTTTTCTCGATGGAATGAGCGGTTACTTTCAAATTCATGTCAACCTCGAGGATCAGGAAAAGACCACATTTACATGTCCATTCGGAACGTTCGCCTTCCGGCGAATGTCCTTTGGTTTATGTAATGCCCCTGCCACCTTCATGAGATGTATGATCGCAATCTTTGAGAAATTTATTGGCGATTTCATGGAGGTCTTTATGGATGATTTCTCCATCATTGGGGAATCATTTGAAGAGTGTCTCAAGAACCTCGAGAAGGTGTTGAAGCGGTGCGAGGAAACCCACCTGGCCTTAAGTTGGGAGAAATGCCACTTTTTGGTCAAGGAAGGGATCGTACTAGGGCATAAGGTCTCTAGCAAAGGAGTCGAAGTCGACAGAGCAAACATTGAAACGATAGAGAAACTTCCCCCACCAACTTCCGTTAGAGCCATCCGTAGCTTTCTTGGCCACGCTGGTTTCTATCGAAGATTTATAAAGGATTTCTCTA